TGCATCCTCTGTCACAAGGTTGCCTCCCCCATTCAGGAAAGGACCCACACTTTTTCTGACCTTTCTCTTGTTGGTGACATGCTTGTAGAAACCCTTCTCACTTCCCTTGCTCGCTGCAACTCCAATTGCAATTTGGCCTTCCTGACTTCAGCCCTGCATGCCTGAGCAATACTCGTAGGCTCCTCCCTAGTTGTTTGCCCAAGTTTCCACTTATAAGCATCCTTTTTGTGATTTAGTTTACTGAAGAGTTCCCTGCTAAGACAAGCTGGTTTTCTACCATACTTGCTGGTCTTCTTGCACATCAGGATGGTCTGTCCCTGCACTCTCAGTCAGGCTTTCTTAAAGTACAGCCAGCTCTCCTGGACTCCTCTCCCCTCAGACTGGCTTCCCAGGGGATCCTGCCCATGAGTTTCCTGAGTGAACTGAAGTCTGCTTTTCTGAAGTCATTGCTAGTAAAGCTGGCAGTGAATTTTCTTGTTTTCTCTTGGGGGGAAAAAATGACAAAATTGGAGAAAAAAATAGTTTGTGCTATTTTTTCTATAACATTTTTCAGGTTATTAAAAAAAATCCAAAAGCATTAGAATAGATTTTTTTCCCAAGATTTTGGCAACTGACACTTAAAATCCCTACAGGCAGTTTAGCCAAAAAATGGAGGTTCCCTGTGCAAATGTTTTGATAAATAAACCATTTGCATTGGGAAAAAAATGTTTAGGATGAAAAATGCTTAGGACCAGCTCTTTATTGTCAACGAAATCCCATAGAAGGTGAATGTAGGTGGGCACAGGATAAACCTGAGCTATGACAATTTCCAATCCTAAGCACTCTCACCTATTTTTGTGTGATCAAATAGCACATGCGCAATACTGGCCGTATGCTGGGGTGATGAACAGGCGAAGGTCTGGCTATTTGCCAGCCCCTGACATTGTGCAAGTAGTAAACACTTATGTATGCAACAGCAGACTGATTTAGGAACCAGTCTGAATATTTCTCTGTTCCCTTGGAAAAACTTCTGATTCCTCTTCTGTTTGTACAAAACTTTTGTCTTTCTTTTTATCACCATTCGTGTGTGTGTTACTCACTCTAGGCCTGTCTTCTTTATATAAGAACATAAGAAGTGCCATACTGGGTCAGATCAATGGTCCATCTAGCCCAGCATCTCATCTAGTCCCTTTTCAAACCTGGCTGTACTATCTGTTTCTATGACTTCCTGTGGCCAAGAGTTCCACAAATTAACTGCGCGCTTCATAAAAAAGTACTTTACCTTTTTAGCTTTAAACCTATCTCCTACTAATTCCATTGGGTTCCCCCTGCTCTGATATTCTAGGACTTGGTGAATAACAATCCCCTATCCACTTTGTCCGCATCCTTTATGATTTCATAGACTAGTCTCCAACTGTGGCAAGTAGTAAACACTTGAGCAGAAGAGTATGAGAAGGGAGCACACCTAGACCGATCCATCCCCGTACCCATCCCTTATCAGGCCCTCCCTGGCATTAACCATCTTCAAGAAATATTTGTTGAATCTAGGACTCCCAAAATGCAGCACAAATATTGCTTAGTCTGAGAAACAATTCTGCCTAAACTCTTAGCAGATCTATTAAATGAAGGGATAAAGAAAGCAAAGCACAGCTTGCATCTCAAAATATGCTTATGATACTCGTGCAAAGACAGTAAACTCGACAGACCAAAAATCAGGCTTGTGAGGCACATAAAGTTAGATATGATGGACAGCTTTTATTTTCCAATTGTTTAAATTAACAAAGTGCTACATTCCATAGTTACAGTATGAGTAGTTGTTCTTGTTCAGGATATAAAACCACGATAAAGCACGAGGGACTGCTGTTAGCACTCTATGGAAGCAGTGCAGTCCAAGAAAACCTCACTGGAGGTGACCATCGGGCATTATTGACATTTGAAAATCAGCAGCTGTACAGCGAAGGTACATTTTGTCATTACAGGAATCACACATCAAGCAGGCTTGGCCCTCTCGCTTGAAATGAAGCTCTGAATGTTGACACTATTTGGCGATGCCTACACTACATTCTGGCATGTGATACCATGAAATTTGAAATGGGGCATCTGCTGGATAACAGAAGCCAGCTACTTGTCCTGTGCTGAGTTGAGAGACTGTTATTGCTGCAGCAAAGTAGTCATTGTAGCTGTGCCTTTGTAGCGTGAGGGTTGAGGTTGCACTGTCATGAGATGCCCCAAATGTTCAGGGCTTCTAGCTCACCTGTGCAACATTCAAATGTTGTGTTTGCAGGCGCAGAGCAAGTTCGGTTCTTGTTTAGTGTTAAAATATATGCATTAAAAAAATGGTCTGCTTGTTTGATGAGCGTGCCAGTTTTGTTGCGTACCAACAAAATTGAATCTTTGAACAACTGGAAGTTTCAGGTCTTTCGAGACATGCCCCCAGCATAGCCTCCCCTTAACTTGTTTTGATTGAATTAATCCAGCTTCTAGCAAAACCGGTGTTGCTGCTTGGAAAGTAACTTTGGACTGGAATAACTAGGGTAATTCTAGAGTTACACAAGCACTCACAATTCTAGAGCTAATACATGCCAATGAGCACTGATTTCCAAGGATGCGTACAATTATCATTTGATCCTTGTGACTTCACAGCACAGAAGCTAAAGCATTGATCTTGGAAACTTGGGGGGTGGAGGGGAGGGATGGGGTCCCTTTTATAGGTTAACTGACCTCCTTCTGGGGTTGAACTAGATGACCCTGGAGGTCCCTTCCAACTCTATGATTCAATGATAGTCAGTTGGTCCTATCAGGCTACCTTTAAGTGGCTGCTCCAATGGCTACTGGTTTTAAACCAGGCCCTACATATACATAGACCAGGAGTTTAATGGTTGGTGTGCCTCTGGGATCTGTTCCAACTTCCATTAACTTCATGCAGCACTGGATTGCACTTTGCCTGCTTTTAAAGGGGTTCCATGACTGGAGACCCCAACATGGACCGGATTGTCCCCTTCGCTCCAGTTTGGAGGGGAGCTGGATCAAAAGTTCAGAGGGGCGGGTGAGCCCTGCAGCTGGCTCCTCAAAAGAGATAGTCACTGTCCAAGCACTATGCTCCAAACACCTACCTAAACTGGTGCCACTAAAATACACATGAACTTATACTCCGTGCTTGTAGAATCAGGCATTTCTGAGCTAGATCTCCATTTCCCAACCCCCTGGTTACTTCCTATAGCCATCTGCACAGAGGGTACAATATGTCTCCATAATAGACCATGCATAGTAGACCAGCCTTTACCCATGAGCACCAGGGGTGGAGCATCTCCTTTAACTGAAATCCTGCCTTGGCCATTTATGCCACACCCTTCCTGTTACTTAACCCCCGGGATAGCAGTACTTGATTATCAGACCTGCCTCAAACTCAGTCATTTTCTACAGCACCATGTTTAACTCAGCGGGTCTGCAGGGGCAGAGCAAATAACGTCAGCGCTCTTACTGGGCTGGGCTGGGCTTTCCAACCTACTCTCACTGCCCGGAGGAGATAACAAGAGCTGCTTCATTTACATGCAACACCACTGTTTCCCTGGGCAACGTTCCCTTTAATGCCTCATGTGGTTAACTACATTAGAACAAAGGAGGAATTACTGCCACCGTAAAAAGCTTGTCTTTCTACCTCCAGCTTTTGAGCACAATGAAAGGCCACGGCATCACCCTCCTGGTTTTTTCATTCCATCAAGCTGACAGCTCCAGCTGAAAAGCATTTACCTGGTTTCGGTGCTGCCAAAGCAGTGTTATTCATGCCCCTGGGCTCTCCAGTGTGGCCTCCTCTCCTGCTTTGTCAAGAGAGGCTACAATTTAGTGGAAATCTTGCATCTTCATTCATTCAGATATTGACTGGAACCCACACGGCCACTACACCTTGTGTAAGTGAACCAGGACTAACCAGAGCAGCCCATCGTGGCTGTCCTTCCTGCGGCTGTTATTGCAGAAAGCCCTGCTCTTCCTTATCTGTTTGGGCCTCCCTGATCGAAACAAATTTCTCTTCCTCTCCTCTCCCATTTCTGAGATCAGCTCAGATTGGTCTTCTTTGGCCCAGTGACTAACTTGCTACTTGTAAGACGTGCCCACTGCCTTGGAGGGCTCAGTGCTCTTTACCAAGACTTTCTCCTTTGAGCTGGAAGAATGGTTCCCTGCAGTTTTCTGCTGTGAAGATATTGATCGAGCTGGGTGAAAGTCACTTGGTTTTGTTTCCTATCAGAAGACCCTACCATAAGAACCATCACTTCTGCAAAGAGCCCAAAGACAATGATCTCACCACTGCTCACAGCTTAACTGTGGTGGGGTGTTGGCCAGTAAAGTTTCCCAGTTTGTTAAGGCAGCGACACCTCTAAACCATCTTACACTCCCCAAGACATTTCAGAGAGAGAAGCAAATGGGGGAGGATTGATTCTCCTGGCGTGGGCTAAGCCTGGTTTTGAGGAGAGGAAGAAACTTCTAAGTGTCTGCTAAAAGAAGAAGCACCTTGTATTTGAGGAAGTGCATTTAAATAGCAGTGATATGTTAGGGCTGGGCAGGATCCTTGGCATCCAGACTCTACGGACAACATGCAGCTAGCTGTGAGGGGCAGAGCGACAAGTGAAAGAACCATCAAGTGATTGCTGCCAGGCTCCTGCCTGCTGGGAAGGCATCTGGAGCTGCCTAGCAAGGGAGGCAGATCAAAATCTTCCAGTGGGAAAGGAAGATGTGAGCCCCTCTTGGGAGAGGTTCTGGGATGAAGAGGCTCTTCAGGAAGACACTGACATGCTGGAGGCGCTGGACGCTGCTTGGCTTTGATTCCCCACTGTTTCCCAAGCGTCTGTTGTGAGAAGTACTTGGTGGACCCATGCGCAGTTGTCAGACTGGAAGACTTGCATCAGCAGAAGCATTTCTAGTTGCCCTTATCTGTTCTCAAGGGAAGTCACTATAGTCTGGGGAAGGTATGGTGGCTTTGAGGGATAAACTCTACTGCTTGTTGTTATTCATCGCCACATCCAGGTACAGCATACTGCAGACCACTGACCCTCCTCATCCACACTAAGAGTTGATGCCCTCTCAGAGAAAAGGCCCATTTTTATCTCCATGTTCTATCTACCCACTGGTTCACGCATGAGCTATTTATTCTTTGTCAAGTCAGATCTTCAAAGCATAGCCTTTATCTTGCCTGCATGTGCAGGGTCCTCGTGCTCTCAGCTGTGCCTGCAGATGATAGAATGCATTCACCCAAAAGATAGTGGTTTGCACTGAGTGGGAGCATGGCCATAGAAGTAGGGCAAGGCATCCTTGTCTCCCTAGCTGCTGTACCTGTCAGGAGCCCTGAGGCTCAAACTCAGGTCTTCCAGGCTTGTGGGGTGAAGGCCTGGGCTGCAGTGCCACCAAGCATCCAGCTGGGTGCTGGACCCAGCCCAGCTTGGGTGCTCTCGTGAGGCTCCCGATGTGGGAACATGTGACGCAGGGGCACCAATGAAACCACATGCCTTCTTTGATGGGAGGGCTGTGAAAACCCTCTGACTTCTCATGGGGCCCTTGTCCTGGCAACAGTGTTTACAGACCTGCTATATGGGACCCTCCTGCTTTGCTCCAGCCTCGACCTCTGGCTTGGACCCTAGTACCTCATTTTTGCTTGCCCTATTTTGTGTTTTGAACACTCTGGCTCCTGACTTCCAGCCCAGGCTTGACTACAGACCCATCCTGACGCCCAGCGTGATCCCTTGTACTTGGACTGATACCTGATATTGTGACAGTTGGCCCTTGGCTTCTGATATTGTTGACCCTTGGATACTGAACCCTGAGCATCCACACCTGGGTGGTACCCAGGACAATACCATCCTTTAGGGCCCTTCACAGGTGTAACTTAGACTACGGAGTGCCCTCAGCAAGTCAAGGGAAAGATGGATTAAAATCTCCCTTCTCCCCACTTCCTAATTTTCCTGTGTGCTCCTGGGGTACATAGCTGCAATGACTGCTGTGTCTGATCTCGGCAATCAGCCAGTCCTTTTCACCTTTACAAAGAATTATATCAGACCCCAGCTGTTCCTCAAGCACTTATCTCTTGTACTTTTTTCAATGACATTGAGATATTTAGCTAGATAAATGAGCAGCTTGACCATATCGGACTAATCTTGCCTCTTCTACTCATAGTGGTCAAGATTCCCCGTCTTGGAAAAATGGATTTTGCATAAATGTAAGATTAAGCTGTCCTCTCCCTACTCATTCAACCAAGAAAATAAGGGCCTTCGGGGCATTTCTGATTTGGTTTTTTTTTCCCCTTAACATTCTTGGTTGAATGGCAACATCTCTCTTCTGTTCCGGTCCAGAAACATGCTCTCCTCACTCACTGGGCCCTTTTGAAATCTCCTATCCACGTCAGTACTGCTTGTTCTGGTTAATGAAACAGGCCCCAGCAGCCATTTCAATGGCTTCCTCCTCCTAGCTCAGCCACACTCCCATCTGGAGTCACTTGTGCTGCAGCCTTGACGCCTTCCTGTTTCCGTGTCCTGCATCTTTTCTAATCTTTACCCCATGTGGCCATGTAAGCACAAACATGCCAGCAAAGCCCACCATGCCTAGCTATCACCACCTATTCTGCCTACTCTGCCTGCCAGTCTTGACCTCCATTCATACCTATGTGCCTTTGGTACCCCAGCTGTCACTGCCCTCCTTCCTGCAGCCAAATGTATTGCAGCCTCATATGACAATCTGAATTTGGTCCAAAAGCTTACTACCCACTGGTTAATTCTGTGATAGCAGTTACGATCCAGTTACCAGTTGTAAAAAGGGACAAATGCTAGATTAATACTCATGCCACTTAGTGAATACACCCCTGTATAAGAGTGATGACAGATAACCAGCGTCTTCAAACACACCCTCTAAAAATACAAAGCCTTTTTCTTCTGCCTATTTCTTATTCGTGCTGCACACTGGGGGAGGAAAAAAAAACTAAGAAATTCACTCTATGAGTATCTGAGCATTTGTGTGTTTCTATTTATTGTGCTGGTGCCATGCTGGTCAAGAATGCACTCAGCCTTTAGGCTGTGAATCAAATTTTGATGGTATTCCCATGTGTTTTCCCTAACCGTGAACCATAGCTACCACAAGATTTAAAAAAAAAAAAACGGGAAATTAGGCAGAGAATGTACAAATGAGTCCATAATTGTGTCAATAATTGTACTCTACCTGGATGCCTCTTTGTTGATGAGGGATATGGTTCAAGTGCGTTGTTCGTTAGTTAAGCAGAGCAGCTAATTTTAGCACCAATGAACTCGAGCTCAGGTTATATAACATTTAAAGTTAGCTAACTGGACAGAGGTCATTTGCGGTTAAGATTTCCATCCCCAATTTAGGTGAGAGCAGCAATTATGATCTGACTACTGTCAGCTGGAACAAAAATATTACACTGTGGTAATAACAAAATAATCGTCCATATGTACCGGCTCCGGCTGTAACAGTACGGACTCTGCATTATAATGACGTGCTGTGGGTGAATATGAACTCTCACTACTGTAGAAAAACAAACATCATTGCACATTACATTTAGATACAGCATGCTGTTTTTGCCAGGGTGCAGAAACCACTACCAGTGGCTCAGAGTGGCTGATAGCAGTGATGCAGCAGATATTCATTCCTTTTGCTCCCTTCCCTGCCCTCCCCCACCAAAAGAAAAAGTCATTGGATATCATGACGGCACTGCAGTTTGATTCAAAATTCATCTTCGGAGCTGTCAGCTAAGAGCATTACGCGGTCTTGCATGCTGTTAAATTCCCTCTGCTAGGAAAGAAAGGAAAGGAAAAAAAAATACATTAACCAGCTTTTAAATACAAGAGGGAAACTCTGAATTCCTTGCCCTGCCCCCACACCCCCAGTCAACTCAATACACTATGGAGTATCACCGTTGTTCAAACCAAACACAAGCACCTTCACAATCAAACTGTTTTTTACTGTATGGACCACAGTGGTAACAAGAGAGTGGTAGGCAGCAGATCAAGGTTTTCCTTCCAGTAGTTATACCTTTCTTTTATGCCTTTTAGAGCCATTTCTCCTTCGGCGATTCATAATCTTAATGCTGTAGAGTGCTCCCAGGATAAAAAGGGCTCCGGCTATGCCGACGCCCACAGGAACCAGCATCCCAGACATGTACCCTGCCTACAAGAGAAAGAGACAATCACTGCAATGCTAAAGAGACAACCGGTTCAGAGCTTTTTCCACCAGCCTAGGGCTGCAGTGCATTTGTATGCTTTTTTTCTTCTACAGCATATTGTATCTGGGGTCACAGCACACCTGGAAAACATAGCTATTTATAGGAACTTTAAAAAAGCAGATTGAAATAAATCCTTTGGCATTTTGATATGCACATTTACTGCGCTACCAGACTGGAGCAGATGAAGTCTAGCATCCTGTCTGCAACAGTGACCGGGAAGAATGCATCTGAGGATGCCGCAGGAGTCCTGCAAAAAGCAAGTGAGGGGCAAAAAATGCTCTGCCCCTCTTCCAACTGTTTGTAGAGAAAGAAATAAAATTTTCTCTCTTTCCCATCTCTCTGCACGATTGCCAGTCCATGTGGACATCTGTACTGTGCTCAGCACTACAGCCCTAGAGGATTAGGGCAGGCTAAAGGAGTTCCAGAACAATGCCAACCCTGCCACGCCTCACAGGTATCAAATCCCACCCCACCCCTGCAGAATCAAACCTTGATAGGATCAGGTCCTGCTAGGTTAAAGTCACCATTGTCTTATGTGGTCACAGCTGAATTCACCTGTGGATCTGAGTGATGAATTCATCCCCATGACTTTTAAAGGCTGACTGGGGATTTGAGATTGAACAACTTCATTCACTCCAAGCCCCAAACCCACCACATTCCTGAGGCTGCACCTGAAGAGTCGCAGCTTAAGACTCAGCACTCGCTAGCATTTGCCAGTGACAGTGCAGACACTGCCAATGTCCTAAGAAAAGGAAGAAATGTGGAGCAGAACGGAGGATGCTCAGCTGTGGGACTGGACTCATCATGTGTAAGCACATAAGGGAAATGCTGAGCTGCTAATGGACAACTGTGTGCTGAGCTGGGCACTCCAGCTGCTTCTGTTATGTGCTGTATAATGTGCCAAAAGCTGAGAGACCCTGACACGACATGTAGCTGAACTGCACAGAAACCAGTGGGCCTGCGCTTACCAGAGCTCCACGTTCTGATGGAGCTCCTGCCCTTCCTTTGATACGTGCATTCACTGGCATGTGCCGAATTGGGAAGGTTTCAGATGCACACTCAGCAAGGACTAACCGCACCCTCCCAGTGATATTGGAAAGGGGTGCCTCTGCGCAGGTTGTGTGCAAGGCTGGGGCAAAGAGCAACAGTTGTCCTGGGTGGCTGCAGGTTAGAGCCAGCTCTCACTGCTCCACTATCTCATGTTCTTATTAAAATGAACGAATATGCTTCTTCATGCCATGATAAAAAGAATGTCACAAAGGTGTTGGAAGGAGCCTCCAAACCATCCATACACAATGAAGGTCTCCATGCTGGCTTCAAACACACCAATATGGTGTGGGATGTTGGAGACATCATGAAGAATGGAGTACAGGAGCTATGCTTCATGTGAAGAGTGGGTCCCAAACCCTGCAGGAAAGAGGGAGCTGACTTAATTTAATAGATTTCATATATTTCACAGACATTAGGGCTGGAAGGGACCTTGAAGATCATCAGGTCCAGCCCCTTACCCCAGGGGCAGGAAGTCAGCTAGGGTCAAAGCAAGATAAGCATTCAAACATTTCTTGAATGAGTCGAAAGTAGGTGCCTGCACCACTTCTGGAGGAAGTCTATTCCAGGCCTTGGGGGGCTCAAACAGTAAATAAGTTTTTCCTTGTGTCCAGCCTAAAACAGTCATGGAAGAGTTTATGAACATCAGTCCTTCCTATCCCTTGGGGTGCTCTCAGCTGGAGTTAGTCCAGCCTCTCAGCTGGAATGGTGCTTCTGAAGATGCTGTATTGCCGACTGGCTTTGTTCACAAATCGGGGGGGAAGGTAAAGTCCCAGTCCGATCCCACCCATTTGACTTTGAGCCCAAAGCCTGATTCCTCCAGCTCTGTGCAGGGAAGTGCAAATGTTGTGTCATTCTCCCCCTCCTCCCCATGTTTTAATGGGTTGGGCAATTCAAATAAGGCGGTGTTATTGTCCTGGCAGAATTGCAGCCTGCTGCTCACCTAAGGAGGAAACAGTCACTGTGAGGAAAGCAGCTACGATGTGTTGATTTAGGGCCTGAATCCCCAACACGTTTCTGCTGCTTTTTCTCACCCTTGTACTGGTGAAAACAAAGAGCAGACACACAATGCACAGTGCTACACCAGTGTAGCTTACTAGGATGTGGTGTAGAGCTATCACGGGGAAGAACAGAGCTAAAACAACATTGGCATCAGTTACATCAGTGTAGATGTGTCTGCTTCTATCCCGGGGTAGCTATTTGCTCAATATAAAGCAGCTCTTACCTGTTCCTCCTCCACCTATTTGTGAGACATCGTAACAGCAGCTATCCTTGAGAGAGCAGTTCTGTCCTGTTTGGAAACTGGTGTGGCTCACTTCAGTGTATAAAACTAGTGTGAGTTATACTGGTGTAAGTGTATTGTGTGTCCAGGACCTATAATTCGGTTGTTGTAAAATCAGCCTGTTCGCATTGCTTGGGGATTTATAAATTCATCAGCACCCAGTAAATAACAGGGATGTTGGAAATTGATTTTAAATCCTTTAAAAAAAGTAAGACTTGAAGTGCTTTCTCTTGTTTTATTTCCCTGCTTTAAATGAAAACAAGCCACTGTCAACTGCCCTAAAGCTCAATGTGTGCACAAGATGTGCCCACCTGTGCATACGGACAGCTCTGTACCCTTCCCAATCTGTACATACAAAGGCAAGTGTGAGTACGCACAACTGGTTTACTCATACAAACACCTGCATGCACAAGGCAGAGGCCTGATGAAGATCTGAGATTTTCATTGTTAGCCCTCAATCATTCAGTATCACACACGTTCATCCGAGGGAGCCTAAAGCTACAACAAACTTACACACCCCCCTCTTGACCATGATTGCTGTTTTTCCGTATGCCACTAAGTGGATAAAAGCTATTCAGCAAGCATTGCCCTTGGCTTTAGATGTTTATCTGGAGAATGAAAATAAATGCTTTCACCTAAGAGAGACGTCGGGCAAGTGAGAACAGCTTTATCCATTTCTCACATCATAAACTTCATCACTGGCTTTTACAGGAATTGCTTTTCTGCTAGTAATGGCTTTGTCCCTGCATCCCAAGGCTGGAGGGAGGCATCTGTTGTTTGTTTGTACTTGTTACTCCGCACCTAATTGTTTCTTACCGCACACCTCACATGCACTCATGGAAATTCTCAGCATTAGCATTTGCTTGGAGGGAAGTTAGCTGCCTGCAAAAGGAGGATGGGAAGAAGAGAGTTGAAAGGCTACATTTCAGCGAAATAATGGTGTCTTAGTTGGGTGACCTAATTAATACAGCCTGGATGTTTCTATTCCTGGACCTGTGCTGTTAGTGCAGGCCCAGAGGCGAGGCTGAAATGTTTCCGACAGCATCTGCCCAGTTGTGGTTTCAAGTCCAGAATCAAGTCCGTTCTTTGTTTTATTCCTGATTCTCTAGCCGTGACCTTGTATTTTACCTGGCAAGTCCTAGAGTTTCCACTCACAACTGGATCAGTGATGTCTCCACAGAATGGCTGATCTTATGGGTCAAATGCAGGTGCCACTCCCTACCTGGGGATCCTGGTGTGTGTATCAGCAGAAAACCCACCTTGGGAAGCACCCGATGTGCGCAGCCACTGATCTGTCCCAAGCCCATGGGGAAGAGGCTGTGACTGCTCCCCTGGGTCCACAGAGGAGAGGATTGGTAGGTCTGTCTGCTGTAGAAGATTTTAAAGAAGCCACACATCTTAGTCCCGCATCCTGGTTGCAAGCTGGAAGTGGGACAGAAATCACTGGGGCAAAGAACTTTCCTTAAGACAGCTGGATGAGGAGAAGACAAAGATCCCTCATACACTGCTATGATCTTCAACCACCCCACTGCTGGAGAAGAAGGAGGGGACAAGGGCATCAGTCTAATGACCCATTGCCTGCCCCTCTCCCTGCATTTCCATCACTTCTGTGTGGTCTGGATGTCAGACAGAAGGCTCCTTTATGTGCTCCTTTACACTTGGCTCCCAAAGTGGTTCCACCTTCTCCCCAAAAGACTCCCCCCATGCCCACTTCTCACTGGGCCTGGCTTCTTAGAGAGCAGATGGGCCAATGGGGAATGTGGACATGAGGGAATCGCCACGATAGTCTGGTTAGCAGAGTAATGCAAGACAGAGAAGTTAGCGCCATCACCTGCCTTTATGAGAAGAGAAGGGGCAAACATTCAAACCAGAGCCAAGAGCTCTGAGAAGGAATCTCGACATGAAGAAGGAGTTAGGCGTGGATTTATTTTGCAGAGGGGTTTTAACAAGGTTTTTAATGAGTTTGTTTTCGATTTGGGGGATGACACCAATGTTTCTAAGAAACAATAAGATAACGGGAGCGTGAAAAATTGGCCACCATGCAGTTCTCATTCCCTGCAAGATGTACAAGTCTGAGGGGACCTGCTCTGTAAGGAAGATGCTAGCAGATT